ATGAAAGTCTTAAGAGGCTTAAAAAAATATGAACAACTGATATTAAGGTAAACATTTTAGAAATAAATGTTAGGCTATATTAGAAATGCAGCATTTACACAGCATTTAAAGTGCTAAAGAAAAAAAGCATTTTGCAAAAAGTTGGAATACAGGATAAGCAACCTGGAAAAGCTTTCAAGCTTACTGCATGAGATATGCCATTAATGCCATCAGACCCACAGTACCCATCAACCACCATCATTTTTAAAAGTTGACTGTAACAAAGATAGAGGAGCCTGGCTTCATTTTTTATTCTGTTTTTTTCTTTTTTGCATTAAAACTATCCATAATTAAGTTATGACTGAAAAATGAGTTATTTCTCCCTTTAAAATATGAAGAAAAACAGACCCTTTGCCATTATATCTCAATGGCTTAACTCTTCTGCTTAGTATTTTAAATCAAGGGTTGAATTAGTAGTTTAGTCAAACTTTTTTTTTTTTTGAGGTGGAAGTTTGCTCTTTGTTGACCAGGCTGGAGTACAGTGGCACAATGTTGGCTCACTGCAATTTCTGTCTCATGGATTCAAGCAATTCCCCTGTCTCAGCTTCCTGAGTAGCTGCGATTACAGGCTCCTGCCACCATGCCCGGCTAATTTTTGTATTTTTAGTAGAGACAGGGTTTCACCATGTTGGCCAGGCTGGTCTTGAACCACTGACGTCAGGTGATCTGCCCGCCTTGGCCTCCCACATTGCTGGGATTATGGGTGTCAGCCACCACGCCTGGCCATAGTTTAATATATGTATTTTTAACCTAACTATATTCTACATATAAGCAGTATTTGCACCCAAAACAGTAGGCACATATCATGGTTTCATACATATCTTATGTTTTATTTTATTTATTTATTTTTTGAGACAGAATCTTGCTTTGTAAGCAGGTTGTAGTGTAGTGGCATGCAGCCTCAACCTCCTCAGTTTAGGTGATCCTCCCACCTTAGCCATTCAAGTAGTTGGGACCACAGGTACGTTCCACTATGTCTGCCTGGCTAACTTAAAAAAAATGTAGACTTGGGGTCTACCTATGTTGCCCAAGCTGAGCTCAAGAAATTCTCCTGTGCTGGCCTTTCGAAGGTTTTATACATTTTAAATTCCCTCTTCTTCTGATAGGAGATTCCTAAATTCTACTGGCTCACTGGAAAACAAACATAATGTTTATTTTTTTGTTTTGTTTTCTGCATATCTTACTTCAAAATGAATTACCAAATTCTACACACAGCATGGAATTTTTAGAATATTATAGAATTATTTGTGTTGCTATATCTGATTTCACACTCAAGAAACTTAATTGTATCCTGTAATTAATTCTGAAATTTATACAGTAAAAATTTCCTGTCAAAATCTATCTACAAGCCAATTATAGTTGGACACCCTATCTAAATAAACATAAATACGCCGTTTGACTAAAACACTCTGCTAAGTGTGCAGGGAACAAAGAGATGAGTAGATATACACATCTTATAGATCATTATATTCAAGAAATCTAGCAGATTGAAAACTATACAATAAGTGAAAATAAAAGTGCCCCCAAAAAGACATCAACAGAGTGATTTGGGAAAATTAAAGAAAAATGTTTTGTGAATGTTCTAAGAAAATTCTCAAATTATTATCACAATATATATTACAAAATAAATTAGCTAGAACATTTAGGAGAAAAAAAATTTCACCTAAGATGCACCTGCATCTTAGGTCATAGGTTCATCTCCACATGAAGGGAGTTAACAAGACAGGTAAAGTCCAGGCAAGACGTCTTTAAGATGTAGCAAAGATTTGTTTTTTGTTTCTGTTTTTTAATCTTATAGGCAAATTTAATGCCAGGGATTGGAAGAATTCTAAGTGCTTAGAATCAGGAGTTACAATATTATTTTATTTCAGCTTCAATGTCACTAATAGAATCACGGAATATTACAGGTAGAAGTACTCAGCCTCTGACATGATTTGAGATGGCTTAAGTTATTTTGTTCATTTTATAGTGCTAGCATCTGTGTACAGTAAAATACATGTCTTTGGCGTTCCTGGTCTATAAAGGCATTCTAATTACTGTATCAAATAACCTCTTAGGTTTCAGTTGTCGTATCTTGTGAGGTGGGTTTAATAGTTTTTGTGCTATCTTCATATGTTTTATAATTTATGTTCTTTTTCAAGAGTGGTGAATATCATTGAACTCTGATGGGGCAATTGGGATCTTGGGTTGCATTAATAAAACTTCTACTCATTCTTCAACTTTCTGAAACCCTGTAATATTATTTACAGATGTTTGCATTTTGAAAAAGGCTTTCAATTATTTCCTTCAAAATCCCTATTGGCATATCCTCTATTCGCTAATACGATTAGAGGATTTTGCAAAAAAATGTAACTCTTAAGTTAACTTTTGTTAATTTCGGTAATAGTGAACAGCTCACTTTATGACTTTTTGGGAGTTGAAATAATGAAATAATATCCTTTATCTTATTTACCTTATTACAAATTATCTATCTATTTATTCATTGAGACAGAGTCTTGCTCTGTCACCCAGGCTGGTGTGCAGTGGCACACTCTCGGCTCACTGCAACCTCTGCCTCCACGGTTCAACCTACTCTCCTGCCTCAGCCTCCAAAGTAGCTGGGACTACAGGTACATGCAGCCACACCCAGTTGATTTTTTGTATTTTAGTAGAAGTGGGGTTTCACCGTGTTGCCCAGGCTGGTCTGGCACTCTTGAACTCAGGCAACCGGCCTCCCGTGGCCTCCCAATGTGTTAGGATTACAGACATGAGCCACTGCGCTTGGCCAAATTTTATATTTTCAAAAATTAAATTAGATATTACCAAGGATCCAGAACTGGTATTTATTAAAACATACAGTAAAAAAGGTGATCGGAATCAATGTCAACTGGTCCATTCTTTCTATTTTACCTATGAGAAACAGAGAAGTTAAGTGAATTATTAAATTTACACATTTAGCTATCTGTAATTCTGAAATTAGAACCAAGGATTTCTGACTGGTGAGCTGTAACTTGAGTAGATCCACCAAATCACCTGTATATTTTAATTTCTGTCTTCCACTCATAATGATCACTCTGATAATTTTTATATTCTCTATTAATCTATATCTTTTGAAGCCACTTCTATATTTAAGGACTCTGAGTTTTTAGGAAGGAATTAAAAGATCATACAGGACAAGCACCATATACTAGAAGAAATGCCAAATACTGAGAGAAAAAGTTTAGGCCCATTCATTCTCAACCTCCCCAGGGATCCACAAGCTGAGAACAAGCGTTGCCCTTAAATGTTCCTGACATCGGCTGCTGATACATCTCTCACTATATGTACACTAGGAACATTTACACAAACAATGAAAACCAGAACTATGGGCCTCCCAAGAACAAATTTCACTACCTTTATATTCACTTTTCCCTGATCCTACTATATTATAATCCTTTTTCTTTTCTTTTTTTTTTTTGCTACACTTTCTCTAAAATGCAAACTAAAAATCTCATTTACTATCTGTCATTTAGGTTCATCTCCATTCCAGAAGTATAGCGATTGAAAACATGAGCCACAAGTCTACCTTGCTTGAGAAAAAAGATAACCAAACATGATATGTCATGTATACAAGTCCATATAAATTATATGTTTCTTATATTATCATATATATCTGATCCTTTAATTTTTAAAATTCCTGTTTCCTCCTTTTTAACCCCTGATATTATTTTCTAATTATTGTTTTTGAGTAGAAATTTCACGGATTTCTGCTTCTGTCTCTTCTCTATTCCTACGGCCCTATATATTTTTTCCTCATTATATAATTAAAAAGAATATTCTTAAGACTTTCCAGTAAGGTTCACAATCTTGTCAGTCAAAACTCCAAAAGTAAGGAGCCTAAATTGATAGTTTAACTAAAGCACCCTCACAATTTGCACCAAGCCATGGAAAGTTAACTTATAATGTAAGGTAATTCAACGTGCAACTGAAAATTGCATGGTGTATCACCATCAAATGAGACCACATCTGACTGGGAATAAAGTATGTTCTTCCGTCACATCTAAGTTTTCAAAATAAGATAAAAGCAAAATTTATAAAACTTTATATTATATATACAAAAAGCCATAGGAAAAAAATCACATATGGATAGTTAGCTATAAATAGATTAAGAGGTCTTCTCTCTCACTCCACCATTTGAAAACTAACAGAAGTAGACTGGAGTTGGTGCCAACTGCAAAAGTATTTTTCATGAGCCAATGGCAGTGTTTTAGGTGGCTGAGCCAACTGCTCTCAGAGGCATTGATTCTTGACAGACTCAATTAGTTCTTTCAGAAAGATAGGCATATAGGAATATTTATCAACTATGAACTCTCCTGGACCATCCAATTCTACTCCCAAATTCCTAGAAATTCTGCATTTCATTAGCTTTTCTGACAAGGCCAGCTAGAGTAATTACTGCCTCCAGGACATTCGTTTTCCAGTTCTTAACAGAGGTGATTTCCTAACACAGATTTTTCATCTCACTCCCTCGAAATTAACACCACTAACAGCTACTCAATAATTATCAAATTCGTTAAGAATCTGTGTAGGGCAACAACAGTATTGCCAACCTCCTCTACTGTCACACAAACTATGATCCAATTTCAGATTCAAAAGCCACATTAGTCACATTGTGCCATTTTTTGTTTGAGTTCCGAACACTTCTCAAGCTAACCAATCACTACATGTTATTTTTAGTCTCTATTTAAAATGGTAACTTCTGTGTAAAGCATTCTCCCAGAGTTAAACTCTGCATCCTCTGGACACCTCGACTTTATTACTATCACGATTAAATTTAATAATTTCTTTGTATGCCTTTATTATCCGCTAGACCAGGGGATGGTTGAGAAGCTTTAGACATTGGCCCATAGGTGGCCTTCTGCTTTTGTAAATAAAGCTTTATTGGAACACAGACACACTCATTTGTTTACATTGTCTTTTATGCAACAACGAATAGTTGTCACAGAGGCTGTTTGGTTCATAATTTTGAAATATTCATTATTTGTCCCTGTACAGAAAAAGTTACTGACCTCACATGAGACTGTAAATTCTTAAATAAGATAGTCTGTCATATTCATCTTTGCATCTCTACAAGCTTGCATACTATCCGAATAGAGACTTTTTTTCTAAATAACTGTATTTTTCTTAATATTTTTTCTTATTTCTTAATATTTTAGTTACGTCCTTCTTACTTCCAAAAGAGATAGCGCTCATAAACAAATAATTTCAATAGCTTTAACATATAGGTTGCTCTAAATATAGTATAAATATATAGTAAGAATGAATTGATTAAGCTTTCAAACCTATGCAACAATTTATTAGACATTAATTGGCAGATGGAAAAAACCCTAAGGAATAATCAATGCAGGAATGTATGATGGTCAAGACGGTGTAAGTGAAATTAGTTTGCCAATTTCAGAGGCACTATATGGCATAAGAATTTAAAGAAAGTAGACAAATTAAAACAGTGACATGGGCGATTATGTTTTATCTTTTAAGTTTGATATTATTACAACAGGCTCGTAACATCTTTTTTTCTTTCTTTCTTTCTTTTTTTTCTTGAAACAGAATCTTGCTCTGTCGCACAGGCTGGAGTGCGATCTTGGCTCACTGCAGTCTCTGCCTCCCAGGTTCAAACAAGTCTCTTGCCTCAGCCTCCTGAGTAGCTAGTACTACAGGTGCACACCACCACACCCAGCTATTTTTTTTTTTTTTGTATTTTTAGTAGAGACGGGGTTTCTGTGGGGGCCTTGGCTTCCCAAAGTGCTGTGATTACAGGCTTGAGCCACTGCATCCGGCCGCTCTTAACATTATTAATAATTAATTAACATGGACCTTGAAATATAGTGATAATGAGATTATATTTCCTATGTGCACATATTAGTCTGGCATCCAGTAAATAGTGTTGCTACCGTACATGAAAGATAATCAAAGTGAGGATAATGAAACCAGGCATGCCTTTTCATCCTTAACCATGTTTCTAGCACTTAGTATGAAGTTATAGCCGGATACCTTGCTGTAAGAATTGCATTCCAGAAAGTTATACTACCAAGTAATTCCAATGTTTCTCCAAACTAGAATTAGTCATATGTTTAATTGTGATTCAAATAAAATATTTTTAACCTTTTATTTTTTTATTTTTTTCACATGCTGCTTACTAGGAGAAGGGGAACTATCTTAATGTTTTCTTCCAGGTTTGGAGACAATCTGAGAGTGGATGTGATCTTAAGATAGTGTGACTCAAACAGCCAATCTGGTTCCCAAAGCGATTTCCCTGCTGGGTACACACAAAATAGGCCCTTTGATTATAATCTTCAGCCCCCTTCTCTAAGGCTTGTCTCTGTGCATAACTCTTTTGGGCCCAGAGTCAGCTCTAAGTTTGTTTTTAAGCTGAGAATATTCCTTAAAACTGCATGCAATGTTGATTTGCTGGCTGCTTTGATTCACAGCTGTCCAGCTATGCCACATTGTTTGTGTCTGTGTACAGTAAAGCCTCAAAAGCATCTCTTTCCCTGTGACTGTTTGCAATTACTTCTGCTAGCCACACATCTATACATAGTAGTAGGAGGGCATTCTCTCTCTTATTTATTAATAAAGCTGCAATTAGAATTAATATTAGACTCCCACTCAGTTAAAATCCTGTAAGAAATGATGTTTAATGGCAAAATCATAATTGAATCCCATTTTAAATTCAGGAATTAAAAATTCATAGCTAAACTCCTCAGAGTTGGTAATTGAAAAATAAAACACACAATTCCATTAAGAAAGACAGAAAAATAACAAGAGTGCCCACATCTGGGGCCTAATCCAAACCAGGTCAGTGAAAATCGGATGTATAAAAGAAAATAAAAACTCTGTAGTTTTTTGTTTTTTTTTTTTTTAATCGGATCTTAGAACCATCTGCTTCTTGGTAAAACAACTCATGTTATTTCATCTCTGAACTTCATATTCACAGACAATGCTAATGGCTCATCATTATGAATGCACAAAATACTGCTATTTTAATTGTCTAGTGAATTTTTCCTATTTATCTGCCCTGCAATTTGTTCCTCTGTCTGTGACTCATGATATAAACTAATAATTAAAAAAAAAAAAAAAACCCAGGAGGAATTTTTTTCCAATCAGCATATGTAGTAACGTCAAAGGTCCACTCTGTCCACTGAATGTAGTGAAGCTAATATACCATGTGATTTTAATTCCATTAGCCATGCTCCATGAGGCAAACTACAGCCAGAGGTCCATTGCCTCCTTTTGTAAATATGTTTTATTGGAACACAGCTACACCCATCATTTTACATATTATTCGTGGCTGCCTTCCTGTAAAGTAGCAGTGCTGAATAGCTGCAACAGAGACTACAAGGCTAGGATGCCTAAAATATTTATGAAGTGACCCCTTAAGGAAAAGTTTGCCAATGCTGCTGCAGACTCTGAGCGAGTGGTAAGTTAGATGTTTTGTTATAGCTAATTATGAGGGCATTGGAAATATAAGTAGGCCAGCCACTCATTGGAGGGGCTATAAATTTACCACTGATATTAAAGCTTGTTTCTCCTGATATTAGACTGACAGTTCTTTTGAGCTTCAGAACAGAGCAGTCAATTGCCATTGGTCGTTGCAACTTGGATGTGCCGAGCCTCATGTTCTCCTCCTTTTCTGGACATCAGTCTTTGCCACTGTACTCTCCATATTGCTGCAAGAGAAAGCTTTTGAAAAGGCAAAGTGGATGATCAAGGAGGCCTCATAACTATTTAAAATCCATGAACGCTATCTCATATACATTAAAATAAAATCAAACCACTTAACATGGCTTAAAATGATATTCATGAGATAGATCGAATTTTGAATCAAGCTGGCTACCTGAAATTCTTCTCTTGCTTCAGGGCCTGTAAGTAGGTTTCCCATTTCTTCAAACTTTATCTGGCTAAAAGATCACTCCTTCAACTGACTAGCTCAGCTATTGATCTACCAGGAAAATGTCTTTTATTTATTCTGACCCGGAATCTATGTTAGGCATCTCACCTACCTGCCTCAGAAGCACCCTGTGTTTTATCCCTAGCATGGCAGTATGACTTTACAGTAGAATTGCTTATTTACTTTTCTAAATGACTTATTTAAAAGGCAAGTGTCTTAAAAACAAAGGCCTTATTTCATATTTACATTTTCTAAGTGCTTAAAACAAAAAAGTACTTTGTGAATATTATATAAACAAAGAATGCTGAGTCAGCCTAGGTGAGGCCATAAGAGAATAGTGGAAACTAATACTAGAACAGAGATGTAGAATGAGAAGAAGTTATTTGTGTTATGTATGTGTTAACCAGCAAATGCTTCTTTGCCTTCCCTCTCCTACAACCAGAATTTGAAATAGTTTACATAATTAATACAAGAAATTTAAATGAAAAACTATGGCCAACTAATCAAAAATCTCTAACTTTGTCATTATCATCAGCAATAGATAATTTAATCATGTAAGAAGGTATTGTGCTACCACAACACAGGTTTGTGGAAGAAGAACTGGCAACTCAGTGGCTTCTTAAAAAGTTTCTGAACTGAAAAAACATTTTACCCTACCTGCTAATACTATCAGTAGGGTTACTAGAGACTTCTATTTTTATAATTTTGAAGCTATAATTACAGTTTACAAATTTAAATTAACTTATTATCAACATTTTACAGATGAGAAGACACACATACAGGGGCAAATTAAACCATCTATTTCAAGGCCATAAGGTAAGTAATAAAATTGTAAATACATAAATTTCCATCTCCTTTCCAGGACTAATACTTTAAAAATAGGATTTTTGTTATCATTTTTTCTTTACAAAGTTTTCAATAGTAATGTAAGAGTTATTTGTATAATACGCTACAGAGTTGCCTGGGAATCCTTTCTTATTGCACAATACTTTGTAAGAAATCTGTACATCATAGCAGAAAGTTCACAAATTTTTTTTATTTAAGTATTCACATTTGTACCAGATTGATAATAATAAAACTAGTTAACTCTTGCTGCCTAACAGATTGCAACAAAAGACTGCTTCCAAAAATAGATTCCATTTTGCTGTTCGATCCCTATCTTTCACCAAATATGGTAAATTTTCTGTCTTAGCCATCTAACATTTTTAATGCTTTCAGCTATTTTTCTAGCTTTTTCATAGAATATCTAGACCTAAGAGATGTAAAATTTTTTAAATAAGCTCATCTTTGAAAAATATAGGTAATCATAGATAGTTGTAGCAAAACATTACTTACTTCACAAGTAACAATCTGAAGTACGCTTTGTTTAACTCTTAGAAAACATGTAATTTCATACTTTATAATCTGAGACTTAAAAACTTGAGACTGGAAATAAATTATTTTAATAAAAAAATAGAGAACTATTTTTACTATTTGGCATTTTATTTCTAGTTACTCCATGTTGAGGATAACAAGTGCATCCTTGTCTAGGTGGAGGTTCTAAAAGGAATAAGACCACACGAGGTAGCTCATGCCTGTAACCCCAGCATTTTGAGGCACAAGGATGGATTGAGGCCAGGAGTTTGAGACAGCCTAGGCAACAAAGGGAGACCCCCATCTCTATTTTTGGAAAAAAAAAAAAAAAAAAAGTAAAATAAAATAAATTGGCTGGGCATAGTGTCACTTGCCTGTAGTCTTGATTACTTGGGAGGCTGAGGTGGGAGCATCACTTGAGCCCAAGAGTTTAAGGCCATAGTGAGCTGTGATCACATCATTGCACTCCAGCCTGGGCAACAGAGCAAGACCCTGACTCTAATAAAAAGAAAGAAAAATTTTAAAAGAAGAAAGAAAATAAAAGCCAAGTAAAAGTCATGTCTTTTAAACTCTGCTCAATGACTGTACATCTTTGTCTGTGGAGATGGTAAAAGGGCTATTCAAATTAACCAATGACAATGACACTTTCAACTTTAACATATTCACCAGCTAGTTGTTATAAAGCCTAAGTTGAAATGAATAAAAAG